TGAATTAATTTGTATTACTTATACTAACAAGATGTATCTACTTAATCCTTTTCATATCAATACTAATATTGTGAATCATAATCTTAAGCCATGCCATTAACACACTTCATTTAGAATCATCATAAGAACATTTGTATTACTATAAATGGAAAAAATTAACTCACTTACTTCTTTATTGTTGATAATATTAGATCATATCCTTAAACTAACCATTCTTAAGTTATCTCAAACTCATAAGTATAAGTCATCTTATGCAATAAAGGTGATAAAATGGAGAAAAGATAAGGAAAAAATGAGAAGAAGAAAAAAAGTAACAAAATGCATCATAATCGTGACTCATCGGTTACAATTGTGACTCGTTGGTCACGTCTATGACTCATCAGTCATGTATGTGACTAGCTCGGTGTTTCTAAAATGGGTCGAGGTCAAAATATGTTACACCGTTGACTCATTAGTCACACTCGTGATGCAATTCAATAGATACAAACTTTGAATATTTGGACATCGAGTCTCATCTCATCACCAAATTTCACCAAAAGTGACCATCCAAACAATAAAATAATAGATAAAGTCTAAAATCACTCTATTAATCCATCAATTTCTCTAATCAAACACTAATTTGCATACATCATTTAAATAAAATCAATCTTCACATACTCATCATAAATCAATGATTTCTACAAGCACTCACAAATCCACAAGATTCAAGTAATGACATACAATTAAATATAATTACTAATCAATTATATTAATTAGAATACCAAAGAATCACATAGAGTATAGAGATACAAGACATTGTTAGAAACTGGGGTTGTTCCCTTATATAACATACACAATAAAGGAGATTAAGTGTCAATCTCACTATTCAACATATAGCTCACACCTAGAGCGAGACTATTCATTCTTCTTTACCTCGATGAACGTTAGACGTAGAACTTGGATCTCCAATTTGCTCTTTAGTAGTTTCTAGTTCTACTAATTCTTTAGAGCAAAGAGAAAAAGCATAAGAAATATGAGAAAGCATAAAAAGAAAAATTGACGCTAACCCTTCATAAAAACTCTATAACCTGCATTCAACCTATGAGTTAATCAAATAAACCAAAGTTATACTTTCCTTTCCTTTAATTAATTAAAATTTATAAATAATATATAAAATAAATATATTCCTCTCAACACATTTATAAATAAAATGAAATATATAAAAAAATTATAATAAAACACATATTTTTCTCCAAATACATATTATAAAATAATTTTACAAACCTTTTTTATTAATTAAAAATATTCATAATTATTAAAAATCTCTATAATATTTTATGAAACCTCTTTAATTAATTAAAACATCCTTTTGATAATTTTAGAAAACTTAATGTATTACAATAACTAAGCCTCTTATAAAATTAGGTCATCGACTACCTTCAAAATGCTACACATCTTTTTAGTAATTAATTAAGGATTTTAACCATCGACTTCATATTTTACTTAATTAGTCACTTCTTAATTAGTATGACTTGACTTGCCTCCCATGTTGTTCCACACAAAACCTAGAAGAGACAATTTAAGTCCAACGTCAATCTACATGCACCCGGCATAAATGAGGTAAAGACTTCATGTGTCAATCACGTATGATGTAGCTAAACTTACATCTGGCTTTATATCTAAGTAGAGAACCCCTACCTAACCTACACCTAATGTCACAAAACCTACATTTGGCATCGTCCAAGCAGAAAGTTACTGCCTTGATTATGCCCAATGTCACAAATTCTATGCCCAGCGTCACCAAGTCAAATAGCTCATAACTAACTCACATATGACACTATGAATCCCACATTTAGTGTTAGTAAGGCAAGGAGCCCTTAAATTGCATCACGCTCAGTGCCATGAAGTTGCACCTAGTGCGATGGCGATTTTGCACTTGACAAAATCACGATTTTGACTCAAAACATGGACAATCTCAAAACCAACCAGCATGCAATCATAATTTCACATTTATACAACATATACAACTCAATTCTAACAAAAGAAACCACATGCAACCATTATAGAATAAGGATCATATCAATTCTTCTTAAAATGCTTTCAAAAGCAAAAACTTGAGCAAAACTCTCTTTTATTGAACTCAATCAATTTGAACAATTAAATGAACCATTTCTAGCATAATCAACAAGTAAAATTTAATATCCTTTAATCGAAAAACTTCTCTTGAATCATTCCGAAAGCAAGAAAAGGAAGGAAGAACGAGAGTTTTTGGGGTCGCCATACTACTCTCTTCCAAACTCAGGTTCTCAACTTCCAAGCCATGAATCTTCAATATCTACCATTATTGATCAGCTATTAGGAAATGTTTGGGTAATCTATAGGGTTAAAAGAGGATTTTCTCCGGCTCCAAAATCATGCCCTCTAATTTTTCTTAAGATATGAATTTATGAAATTCACATTTTAAAGATAGAAAAATTTTATATATTTTTCCTACTTTATCAACTTAACCCTAACTAATAACAATCTCTAAACAACTTAACTCTCCAAAATTTTTAACTCTTAAAATTCTAAAACAACTATAATTACAACATATCAACATTAAAATACAACAAATTATACAATTAATTAATTAAACATATAAATCATACAATATTAGAATGTGCATGTTCAAAAGTTAATTAGAACAATTTATTTTGGAAACCATGCACTCGAAGTCTTTCTTAAACTAGAGAAGTCTAAAAAATAATAAGACCTCATTTATATATAGTAGCTAGAACGTGAATGCATGCAAGTTTTCTTCATCCAACCCACCACTGTTTAGCATTTTTCTTTACTTTTTACGGTTATTTACTTTCTTTCTTCTCCATCCCATCTTATTAACTCGGAATTAATTGAATATTGGCCAATAATTGAAAATAAGAACTTTCACTATCCCTCACTATTAATTGCACATGAGGCTAAGCCGTATAAGGAAATCAGAAATTTAAATAATTTTGAAAGATATATCTACCTACAGATGCTAGCTGCCGACTTTGAGGAAAAAGAGTGCAATATAAGCCAATAATTAATTTGATTGAAAGCAAGTAAAGATTGAAGGTTTTTTTTTTCTAACCTCAATAATTTTAGTCTAAAGATATGAACTAATTTTTCGAAATATTAAAATCCATTTTAAATAATCTAATATTTTTTTAACTTATATTTCTATACACAGATCTGATAATCAAAATTTACAACTACATGTTTAAGAAGCCTAATAATTTACCAATCATATCACACTATTTTAGTAAGGCTAAAAACTTATTTTGGTCCCTTATAATAATTATTTGTTTTAATTTAGTTTCACTTTTATTTTTTGTCTCAATTTGGTCCCTAATAAATTAATTAGTTTTAATGTCAGACTTCCGTCTAAATTATTTAAATGGAGTTAACTGTTGGCCACGTAGATGTCACGTAGATGCATAAGTAGATGCCAAGTGGATGCCAAATTCCTTGAAAACACCTGGAACCAGAACGGCCCATTCTGAAACCAGAATGGGCGGTTCTGGGTGCATTATTGGTGTGTTAATTTTGCATCTGAAACGGCCCATTCCAGATGCAAAATTAACATACCACCAGTACATCAGAACGGGCCGTTCTGAAACCAGAACGGGCTGTTCCGAATGCAAAATTAACACACAAAGAGTGCACCCAGAACGGCCCGTTCTGGTTTCAGAACGGACCATTCTGGTTCCAGGTGTTTTAAAAAAAAATTGGCATACACGTGGCATCTACCTGTGCATTACGTGACATTCACGTGACCAATAATTAACTCCGTTTAAATAATTTGGACGAAAGTCTGACATTACAATCAATTAATTTATTAAGAACTAAATTGAGACCAAAAATAAAAATGAGACGAAATTGAAATAAATAATTATTATAAAAAACTAAAATACTATTTTAGCCTTCTAGTAACGATGCTTCAATATTCAGTGTCAAATATAGGACCATAGGTCCAAAACCTGAGACAAAGATGTTTTTGGAGAGGCTTGGTGTCCCTTGTCACATGTTAAAATTAATTTCTAGGTGCCCTTCCCCAGGAATTGTGCTTTTGCCCTACATACTAACCCAACATGCTTGATAGTTGAATCTTTAAATTTTAATGTTTTCCCTATTTTATAAGTTTTAGTTTGTACCCCTCTCCAGATTATTTATTTATTTTTTTAAGTTATCATGTGTTAGTCTAAATAGTCTCTCACTTAATTATTGGCTAAGAGCATTTTCTAAGAAACCAAAGTAAAATTGATTTTCACAATTTTCATTTGTTTTTTTTTTTTAAGATTTTCTATGAGCTGATTAAGAAAAGTTCAAAATTCCCATTTAAATGTTTACTTAATTCTTTGCCGTACACTCCCTAATTTCACCTTTTTTGTTTGTATTTTGCCTGAAAAGGTTTGCATGTGAGAGAGGTGAGGTGATAGTGATGTCGAGTCCTTGCAATACATAAGCTGTTGATTGAAGTTCACTACCATTCATTGTCTGAACAGAAATGATCTGCATCTCCGATATAAACTGTTTCCAAAAGGGGATAAAAAAATGGCCAAAGATTGTTAAGAATTGCAATCTTCTAATCTAATTGGTTCCTCATACAGGCTGCTACTTGAAAACTTGTGTGACAAATACAACACACCCAATAAAGGGAGGCATAACCATTTTGTAGCCCATAGCAATTTCCCCAATAATTTTATTTTGAGAAAACCCTATTGCTGACTACTCTGACATTGATGTTTCTTGTTTTTTTTTTCTAAAGTCAATTGCCAATTTTCCAATAGCACTAACACGTGTGCAAGCTATTGACAAAGAGCGCTCTCTCTCTATCTAAATGGTTAATGACTTGATGCAACCTAATCATTTTGTTTTTATTTTCTCCTTCCCTTTGTGTTTCTTGTAATTAACTATTTCTTCTAAAAAATTTGTATAATCCACAAACTTTTTCTTTCTAATAATTCTATATCCTTTTCTTATAAAAAGCATTGACCTACTTTTCCTAATCACCACCTTGCCTTTTAAGTACTTGTTTCCCTGCCTTTTCTCACCTTGTTTGTGTCTGTTTATGAAACAAAATCTTTCCTCCTCTCAACCCACCACTTAGATCAAGACAATCAAAAGGCATGTTTGGACATCCAGAGATAGGTAAATATTAGCAAATAAACATCAATTTTGTTGTTCTCAAAGAATCAACTTACTCACTAGCTGATATTAGTATCTTATCATAGATTTTCATCAAATTTATGGTATGTTCAGAATTCTGATGGTGCTGGAGGCATGATGCTCTACAGCAGCCAAAATATGCATTATTAATTGTGTACAGACTCAGGGTTTTAACATGGAGTTTTGTGTTTTTCCCAAAGATAGATTAGATGAGATAACAAAGGTCAGAGCAGAGGGAGAAGCATCTGCTCAAATGGGAAGGAAGCATTTCTATGGTCCAACTCCTGGGACAACCTTAAACACTGTAACCCCTTGTGCTGCATGCAAGCTTCTGAGAAGAAGATGTGCTGAAGAATGCCCTTTCTCTCCTTATTTTTCACCACATGAGCCTCAAAAGTTTGCAGCAGTTCACAAAGTGTTTGGTGCAAGCAATGTCTCTAAGATGCTAATGGTTAGTGCCTAATTACTATCTCCACACACCATATTAGTTACTCTAATTTGATTCACTACTCTTGTTGAAGTAAAAGTTGATTTGTTTTCAAATTTTATGTGTATGTATAGGAGGTACCAGAGGGCCAAAGAGCTGATGCAGCAAATAGCTTGGTTTATGAAGCTAACTTGAGGCTGAGAGATCCTGTGTATGGATGCATGGGTGCAATATCAGCTTTGCAGCAACAAGTTCAATCTCTACAAGCAGAACTAAATGCAATAAGGGCAGAGATACTAAAATACAAATATAGAGAAGCTGCAAGTCTCCTTTCTTCTCATCATGCTGCTTTAGTTTCTTCTGCTGATGCTATATCTGCAGCAATTCCTGCAGACTCACAAGGTCTTTCTCATCCTCCTCCTCCAAAACCATTACCTTCTCCTCCACCAAAACCATTTCCTTCTCCTCCTGTTATCCTTTCATCCTTGTCTTCATCTTCAACTTCTTCTGTCTACACTCCTCCTAAAAGCTCAATGAGCCTTGGATCCATTTCCAGCACTGAAAATGTCCCATACTTTGTTTAGCTCCATTTGTTTACTATTCATTTTCTGTAGGAATGAATAACTAATGATGCTTTTCTCAACTGAGTAGAATGTATCACTTGGTCATCTAGAGAATAGAGATTATGGAAAAGGGAAACCACACTACATATTCATATGCTTTTAGTGGCATTTTCTACTCTTTTGATGTGCTTTTTCACAAACATTATTATTATGATCTTATTCTTATACAAACATCCATTTATGCTTAACTTGTCTTCATTTGTAAGAGTAATGCATTCTAAGTGTAGGACACAATAGGTATCAATTTTACAAGTTTCATGTCTTGCAGAACTATGTGTTCCTTTTGAAATAGTTTAATCATAGGAGGTTCAAACTGATGTAAAGATTAAAACATAAATAGAGAAAAATGAATAAATAAAGTCAACTGGAAATTAAGTGTAGATGTTGGTAAAAGGAGTAAAGAATTGTATGAGAAAAGCATGGTCTGAGAAGTATTGATTTTATTATAGAAATGGCGCTGAAGATCACATGAAGAGATGAAGTGTAGTCTTGAACAATTGGCCATTGCACGTGGGGGGAATATCTCCATTTGACTGAAGCTTAAATAACTCACTCACGAGTCTGTGCCAGCTGCAGATTTAAAGGATGTGAAAGATTTTAACTTCTTAAAAGGGAGACAAGGTACGGTGGCTGTGTTATAGTTCCTGTTCCCATGTGAAGTTAAGCATCATATACATATATAGATCTAACTATATATATTAAACTCTTTTCTCCTATTAATTAGATTCTCCAACCTACCAGTCTTAGCATGAAAAAAATAAAAAGGTGAAGAAATTGTTATATTGGTCCGTAAAATTAAGAAATTATCAATTAAATTTTTAAAATATCAAATAAATCTTTAAATTTAATTACTTACTGATTTTAGTAATACTTTTAAATCACTCATTTATTTGCACTTTCAAAACATATTTAAGAATTTGTTAATTTCTAAGACTAATATGATAATACCTTCTAAATTCAATGACCAATTTAAGTACTTACTCTAATAAAAAAAAGTTTAACATTTATGTATTATTACTATAATTTGTTTACATTATCAATCAATTAAAAATAATTGTTGTCACAATTTTTTAAATAGTTATTGTAAAAATTATTGCATACAAATTTTTTACATTGTCTGTGAATATACTCATGAAAAAATGTACATGAAGTTTTTTTGTTTTAAAATTAAATGCTTGCAAAAGTGGTAGCCCTATAAATTGCGATGTAAACAACCAGACTATAACCATGAGCGATTTAATTGGAATTGTTATAGCTTAACGATTCCCTCAAAATATTATGTTAAACTATCATTAGTAGCCCTACCCAACTTTAATCATGTTAGTTTGATATCTAATATTATGGTGTCCTAGAGTATAGTGGTCGACCTAGAAAAAAAAAAAGGCATATTATGATAACAAAATGGTATATGCATAAACTTTTCTTTCAAAATGTGTGATATTTAGGTGTAGTGGCATTGGAATCTTATATAATCACCAGAAAGGTTAGGTAGAATAATAGAAGAATAGAAAGATTAATTATCTGTTGGCGGTAATACAAGTTGTTAGCACGTAGTGCAATCTGGAATAAAAATAGTTCTTCATGATCAGTAACGAAGCTTCATTTAATTAGTAGCCAAAAAGAGACAATTAAATGAATTAATCAGCTCCTGGGTCCAGCCAAAGTTACACCCATGACATCAACTAACTCAATGTGATATAAAATTGCATTGCTCAACTATATATTCATTTTAATTAAAAAATATCTAGTCTTTAGGTATTCAAGATGAAATTGCTCGAATCAATAGTATATCTTATTTTTAACCAATTAAGCTTAATTATTAGGAAAACCTCTTTTATCGTTGAACACCAACGAAAAAAAGGATTCAAAAAAAGAAAAAGAAAAAAAGAGCATGGTAGAATCGTTTGCTTGCATTAGACTTAAAGTTGTTCTATGCAAGTAAAGGTATGCAATCTAAGTCAATCTTTCTACCAACAAAATATCGTAATATGAAGCATTCGATTCCTTTGACGTGTGAAACTCAACCTGAGCTAGTGTGAAAGAAAGGCCAAGAAGCTAATTAAATATAACAGATGATTAATACATATATGTAGAATGCTCCATTTTTATAATTTATTCCCACTTCCATCTCCGTTTACAATTTGTGTGGTAGTTTAATTTAGATTTAGACCAAAGATGCGTGTAGATTATGACACAGATCGGACTTGGTTTTGTCACCGTTGCTTGAAATATTCGTATCTTTTGCTCAACATGCTCATTAGTGATTCTTCAATTTACTAATACTAAAAAGTTCACTTATAATGTCCATTTCTTTCGATTAAAATTATGTTTAATCAACAAAAAATTATATTTTATGAGTAGAAATTAATTTTTTTTATTATCAATTTTAAAGCGAAGAGAGAAAAACTCACTTTAATATTTAAATGAAACTTCATATTTCCAACAAAGCATAACGTGGTTCATGTCAAACACCCCATCAAGATGGCACGTACGAGAGTTTTGATTTTCTTTATTAAGTTCTTTTGAGCAGAGAAGGCAAGAAATAGTTTTATAACACGCAATTCAAGCTAGTTGGGCGACTTGGTGGTAAATAATGTAATATTTTAACTAATAATAACATTGATAAAAAAAAATATATTATCAAACTGATATCGCATTTATGTGGGGTTGACAAGTTATAATATGATAGTATTAAATGTCAGAAAAAGAAAGAAAAGAAAAAAAGATAAATTATGTGCTTGCGAGGATTCCCAGATACATGTATAATAATGATAGGTTTTTGGATCTTTATATATGTGGTTAAAAGTCAAAGATACATATCTAATAAAGCTTTCACATGGATATATTAGATACAAATCTAATAGTTAATATAGGTATGCCTAATTAACTATTAGTCGAGCTGTGTCACAGTATAGTTAATCAAAGAGGTCCTTCTCAGTGACAGGGACAGCTCAAAACTTAATGAGCCCTCACATGGAATCTTTCAGTACTACAACTTGGTCTGGTATATAGTATACCCTAAGGGGAGCCACAAACACTTTAGAAATAACCATCCAAACAACGTTACATAAGCTTATAGGACGAAATTCTTTGAGGCTAACCGGATGGTCCACCTTCGAAATTAACACCATCTGTGTCTCCAAGAGTGAAATGTTCGAGAACCCCAATCGAAAGGCATCCTTCACTGTACTACCGATTACTCACACATCTGTATGATTGCATTTTTTTCTTTACCAAAAGTTTCAACTAACATATGTAGGAAGGCCATTTATAATGTACGTTACACAATATTTACATAAATTTAAATAAAATATTTTTTTTAATTTAACTCTCTTTTAATCAAAAATTTTAATTTAACTTTTCAAATATATATGTGCATAATGCCTAACATATCATTAGAATGTTATTAAAATACTTTTTATTTTCCTCAATTTCATTAATTCCTAATCACATTATAGGCCTTTTGGATTTCAAATTACAAGAGTATCATTATGATATTACAAAAATAAAAAAAATAAATATAAATACAATTTTGGGGGATTGTGATATTCCAACAATAAAAAGTTAAAATATATATACAAATTTGGGTAATCATGCATGCTTTATTCTCATATTGAACAAAAACATACATTAACTAAGATTTTCGCATCCACAATATTGTTCTGACAATTTTCATCTCCTATATTTTGACAAATATAGGTTTTCTATGTATAATCTACAAATAGTTTAATTTGTAAATTAAAATTTTGAAAAATATGAATTTACAAATAATTTTTATAATTTTTTATAATTTTGATAAATATATATTTCTTACGTATAAGTTCAACAAATATTTTACAGTTGTTTATTTTTATAATTTGATGTTATATTTTAAAAATAATATAATTTTGATAATCTATAAGACATCAGCACCTCTCGCGAATACGGGCAATCACGAAGTGCATGTAAAATGGTTTCGTGAGGGCAAGAGCAACGCGAGCATGCACCAAAGTCGGCCATCCTCCTATCAGCCCGAACCTGATTCGTTGGAAGGGCTGAATGAAGGCATTGCCACAGAAAGAACTTAACCTTCTCAGGAATCTTTAACTTCCAGATCTTCTTCCAAACTTCGTCCCCCTCCGTTGACAGTACCGTGGTTAGAAAACGATACCCAGATGCCGCTATGTAACAGCCCGAGCTATCCCCCCTCCAAGCGAAGTGATCCAGCCCCAAAGAGGAATTGACGACACTCAACCGTTGGACTGAATGTATCAGTTCCGCCGGGAGAACAGTATACAAAGCAGTGAAGTTCCAAGCACCACTAACCCAGCAATCTACGACCGTTTTGTTGGTGTCCGCAATGTGAACTAATGGAACTTTCCCACACCAAAGCCCAGTACCTGACCAGTCCGTGTACCAAAGGGATGAGGCACCCGACCCTAGCTGAGGCACGAATCCCTCACGAAGATAAGGAAGGGCCTTAAGAAGACTTGACCAAGTAGGAGAAGCACCCCGCCTGTTTTGAGCACACAAGATAGAGTCTCCCTGTAGGTATAGATTGCTGAGGAGTTGAACCCAAGGCTTCTGTGGAGCCGTAAGCAGATCCCAAACTAACTTCCCAAGGAGTGATACATTCACCCTGCGCGCCTCCCTAACACCAAGGCCGCCGAACTCTGTGGGTTGAGTAACAACATCCCAACTCACTGGAGACCAAAACCGTGTGTTGTCAGATTTTGCCCAGAGCATACAACGACAAGCCTGATCAACTCTATTACACACTGCTTGAGGAAGCCACAGTGTTTGCATGCTATAAATTGGAATAGAGGAGATGGTGGACTTCACCAGACACAACTTCCCGACCTTATTAAGAAGCTTGGACTTCCAAGCCGCAAGTCTACCCTGAATCTTATCCATCACATCATAAAAATCTGCGCACCTCAGCTAACCATGAGTCATGGGAACCCCCAAGTACTTCCCTATTCGAGCCGTGTGGCCAATCCCAAGCCATCCCTCCAGTATATCGATCCTCCTCTGTGAAACCCTTCTAGAGCTCACAAACTTAGACTTAGACAAATTGACCCTCAAGCCTGAAGATCGCGAAAACTCCTCCAAGATTGACGCCACCAAGCGAGCTTGATCCTCTGAAGCTTGACAAAACAGTAAAATATCATCAGCAAAGAAAAGGTGTGAAAGCGAGAACCCCCCAGGGGAGAGCTGAATCGGTTTCCAATGACCCTCCTGAAGCAACTCAGAGATCCTAAGGGTTAGGCGCTCCATGCAAAAAACAAACAGATACGGAGATAATGGGTCTCCCTGCCGAAGGCCACAAGACGGAACAAAGGACGATAACTTGCTTCCATTCCAAAGGAGTGAAATTGACGAATTCTTCAACCCCCACATGATAAGTTGGGTTGTGATTGACGGAAACCCAAACT